TTTTACGTCGATCAAGCAGCGCCAAAATCCCCCCCCCACCCGCTGCTCCCTCCCATCGTTTTACACATGCGCTAAGAGGGTAAGGCGTGATCTGGTGCTTTTCTTTCGCACGGCATAGCGACGGGAGATTGTTCTTATCCTTTTAACTTCAATTCCTTTAGCCTCCATCACGTTCTTTGTAGCCATCAGGGTCGCGTTTTATCGCAGCCGCAGTAGGCACAGATGTAGCATTAAACCGTGTATGATGAGCTCCACTATTTTCCCCTCACCACATTCACACAGTGGCGGTTGTTTCATGAATACGGTTTCAGGTTTACGGAGCTCCACTACTGTAAGGGTAAGCTGAAGGCCTGAATCTCCTCGGCTGGATCACCAACCAATAGCCTCCTGTTTGGAATGTCACATGTGGTCCATGATTAGTTAAGCTGGCGTTCATGTCTTTTTGTTTAGCTACTAGCGAAGAACCATGCTCCAGAAAATTTTCTTTGATTTCAGTCAAATGCACAACGCCAAAATGACCACATGATGAAATGACCACTTGGAGGGTAGCACTTGCCGGATCCTTCCATATTCGAACAACCTTTCAACTAATGCAACTTAGCTGAATCTTCTCAACCAGTGCTAAACATTTCATCACGTTTTAATAAGGAATTCATGCAAAGGTGATCATTCCGATATGTCAGAAAACAATAATGGTAAAACTTTGAAAAGCAGATTTGGCGTGTTCTGGAAAACAGAAACAAAGGCTTAACTGTGTTGATATTGGGTCTTAGTTTCGTGGCTTAACACATAAGTATGAAATGGCGCAATTATGACATATATTACATATAAAAGTTTGCCATATAAATTAAGTTATTTTGTACATCACCTCGTTGTTCTTACATGAAAAGTTGATTTTTAAACTTAATTATATTCACAAATTTAAATCTTACGAAATGAACGGGCAGTCTGTCAACTAATTTGACAGACGTTTTGGTATTACACTGATTGCATTAACATGTTAAAAAATGAACATCTGCATATAGATAAAATTTTAGAATCTTAGAAATTCATTAGTCTGACAGAAGATTCATACTGTACCCGCGAAGAGCTTCTCATGGATATATAATATAGACATGTAGGCCTCGATATTACAGTTGAACGAGATAAAAAAAGTTAAATCATATAGAAACAAACGGCCGCGCCGAACCGTCATAGACCGGTAACAAAACTGCTACATATTCTGAACGGAGGAGGTAGGCAACACGATGTCATCACAGCATGTCAAAAAAGGCTCCATGGGAACGCCCCCGCAAGTAGAAGGTAAAGTCAGAAATTGGAATATATCCTCACTCACAGGGAAAGAACAAGAGTTAGTTGATGAGGC